CGCGTATGCTGGACTTCAGGCTTCGCAATCCGTACCTGTGGCCCGTAACACCGACCTGTTGAAAGGAATGATATATAGAAGCCATCATAAGGAGCCCCTAAAAGGGTAGGTCTTATCGGCTACAACACCATAAACCCTAAACCCCAAACCCTAAACCCTAAACCCTGGACCCAAAACCCTAGACCCTAAACCCAGAACCCTAAACCCTAGACCCTAAACCCTGAACCCTAGACACCAGACCCCAAACCGCAGAGAAACCCCAAAGTCAGACTCGCCAAGTCCCTAAACCCTAAACCCTAAACCCCTAAACCCTAAACCCCTAAACCCTAAACCCTAAACCCTAAACCCCTAAACCGTGGGCGAGCGCCTGCGACAGGGAGCATTGGGCCAGGACGTGGCTCGGTTGTGAGCGGACTGTCCAGGCCTCCAAGTCCTTCACGGCTTTAGGGCCTAGGGTTGAGATGGTGGAGCATATAGGTTTTAGGGTTTTGGATTTAGGTTTTTTTTTGTAAGAGTAGTGGCCTTTCTCTCCGCATCGAAGGTCCAGGCTTGCCGAGCAAGCATACACTATGTTCAAGTAAAAAACAGGCCATAAGCCCACAGATTGACACCAGCAGAGTGTCCACACCTAAGAATCACGACTACGACTGCGATCGCCTCGCAAGGATTCGCGACTCACGGGCTCTCTGTGATCACTACTCAAGGGTTTAGGGTTTAGGTTCTAGGGTTTAGGGTTTAGGTTTTAGGGTTGAGGGCTCAGGGTTTAGGGTGAGGAACTAACGAATTCCTTAACAAGAACCCAGTTTAGACTTTACGCTTTAGAACATGTTTTCGGTACACTCTAGGATTTCGGGGCTGGGGCTTTTAAGGCTTTAAGCTTGCAGGGGATGTCTCCATTGATTCTTGGGTTATTGGGGGTTCAAGGCTTGAGGCTTTATGCATTTCGGGGATGCGTCTATTAACTTTGGGGTTTGGTTGGGGTCCTGGACTCAGGCTCTATGCTGTTTCGACTGACGTGAGGGTTGTAGCTAGGGTTTAGCCTACGTGCCTCCAGATAGGGCTTTGGGGTATGAAGAAGTCGTCTTACCCAATAAAGCGGTCCAAATTGCGTAACAATCTTTCCCAGCAAAGTCGATATAGAATTATATTACAGTATCACCCCAAACCCTGTTCTAAATGTCACGGCGCCTAGAGATAACCCCAAAACCTTAGCCTGCTTGAGGAGGTCTCCGTCCTCCTGGTGGCTGCCCAGGACCGTGTCACCTGATAGAAGGCCAGCATCATCATCATCATCATCATCATCAACATCATCATCATCACCATCGTCATCATCATCACACCATCAGCATGACAGTAATCATCGTCATCATCATCATCATCATCATCACCATCACGGAGGCTTGTTGGGAGCCGGGGCGCCCTGCTCTTGCACGGCCGTTGGTGTTTACAAGCAGGGCAGTAGCTGTAGCTGCAGTATTGGGGGAGCAGAGTGCGAGCAGGAGTGGTGAGACGGATATCAGTACCAGTCAAAGTCGCAGAGGTGCAGCACTCGAGTCATTCATGACCCGCCCTGCGGGTCGTTCCTGGCTCCCAGCACACCCAAACGCTCCGGCCCTAGAAACCTAAAGTTCTGAAGATCTCAAACTCTAAGATCCTAAACCTGCAAACTCCAAAGCTTCAACACCCCACAACGCCGCGAAAGCCCAACACAGTGCTGTGCCAATCCAAAGATCTAGAACAAGTCTAGAACCCCCAAAGGCACAAAATCCCACCACGCCTCCCCCACGCCTCAAAACCAAGCGAAAAGTTTCCCTGATCCTTCAAGTAATCCGGAGGGGGGGGGGGGGGGG